GCGGAAATCTACTTCCACCATGACAACGCCCGACCTCACACTGCAAAGGCGACCCAGGCCGAGCTGGAGAAGTACGGATGGCTGATGGTCGCCCACCCTCCCTACAGCCCTGACCTCGCTCCTTCTGACTACTGGCTGTTCAGCCACCTGCAGCGCTATCTGGACGGAAAAAAGTTCGAAACAAAGGATCAGGTCAGAAAGGCGCTCGACGACTTCTTCAAGTCCCAGCCTCCGTCGTTCTGGAAGGATGGAATCGACAAGCTGCCTGAGCGCTGGCGTCGAGTAGTGGATGGTGATGATGCATACCTCTAATCTTCAGGTTGGTTCGCTATTGAGATAAAAAAGTCGTGTATAAGAACTTATGCGACAACCTAATAGAACTACCAATGCTAGAGCATCTGAGTGTGTGCAATAGGATAACTGTTCCACATAGGTGCATTTGAAGTATGTACAAGCTCCAGGAAATCAGTATTGTGTTGTAACACAGACATTCGTGATGTGGCGCCCTAAACGAGTTCGGGTGTGATCGCAATTTCCTTAATTCGAGGATAAACTGATCCTTACGTGACAACGTGGGGTGGCTGTGGGAGGAACTTCTGAGATTCCAGAAAACTAGAAGGAAGTCCTGTAAAATTCCCTGATCTGAAGTATGTTTCAGGGTTTCATAGCTCTCGATTGTATCATTTCCTCCAAATCAAGTGATGTTCTCATTCCTACGAATGTCTCGTGTATCGTGAACCTAATCGCGAAGATAACGCGCCCCAGCGCAATGACCGCGACGCGACCGTTCGCCCCTCGCTGTCCGAAAATGTTCGTTTGGCATTTAAGTTCTTCTAGCCTAGATTCGCACAGCAAACATGGCCGCGTCGCACCGTGGTCCTCCGAATCACATTAGACAGAGTTTCTTTTCACAGCTGTAGACTGTCCCCCCTAGCCATAATCAGTTTACTCAAATATGTAAGTTTATGAGAAGCAACTCACATTATGGTAGTACTCTCGGTGAAACAGGATCGCATTAACACGCTCGTTTGAGAGATGGCATGTACCTGAAAACATTTCGTTGCTATTCAGAAGTAAAACTGCTTGTAAACCATGCAAGTAAAATTTCAGGAGGACAGGGCAGCCCGAGAAGAAAGACATGCCTATTCTGGAATTAAGCCAGTTGTAGTGAGAGAGCTGGAGCTGGATTAGCAGCTGTTTTATGTCACTTGTGTAGGCCGCAGACAACAGAGGTTTTTTGAGCGCGCATTAAGACATGGAATTTTTCAGCGGAAGTAACATCAAGGATAGTAACAAATCAGTGAGTCATCTTGATGTAACAAGTCAAAAATATTAGTAAAAAAACATGAAAACTACCGACTATTTGAATATCAGTTACTCAGACTTTATCCTTGTTGGTTTTGAACACATGCGATTCCAAGATAAACGGACAACTCGAATCTGGTATGTAGTTTGAATTGCGCCAACTCCCTGCTTGTTTGCACTCTCTTGCTGAGACATCGTTCTGACTAGTTTGCACATCGGGACCTCATTCGGCCCGCTGTTTAGTGGCTGCCTAACGCTGCAGAAAGAAGAACTCCATTCGTTGTCATTCAAGTTCTGCACATTTATGCGCTCAGCCAATCATCCTTTACCAGGCTTTCACGGCAAGGCCATAAATTTTGAGGATCGTGTGTTGTAAAGTTTCCACTCACTTTTGAGTTTTTCAGATTCTTTGCTCACTCTAAAAGCATCAGCTGAAAAAGTGATTCACAAAATAGGTCGCTACAAATTACTATAAGGACCAAGTTGCAGTCTTGTTCGCTGCGGATGGAGGGGCCGAGTAGATTTGACGTGGTGCCAAACCCATTTTCCGCTAGTTGTTGAAGCGTTTAAGCAGCAATACCGTGTCGTATGGCTCGTACCAGTCGTTTTCCACCGATTTTCGCAGCTCATCTGTTCCAACAAATAGTGGGGAACGGGTATGGCGCCGCGCCGATCCATCCCGCCTGACACGCCCCTATACCCGCAGCGAACAAGACTGCAGCTGAATTTAGTAACACTGCTCAGTGCTCATCGATGATGGTCAAACCTATGAGGATCCTTATCGATTTTTTGGTGGACACTGTTCCTTGTCTGCTCATGCCCTCTCATTTCGTGGCTGGACCATGGTGGAGAGATTGAGTACGTCCAAAACCGTTTAGGCTGCGTATCACCTCGTATTATAGGCCGACGCGCAGCTATCTGGCAGCTCACCTACCGCACGTTCACGGTGTACGCACTGTACGGAAGGAAGTCGCTTGGTGCGACAGCTCAGCCATCGACGGGCACATCAAGTTACGGTACAAATTCCTTAAGACAGATAACTCGTCCGAATCTCTCATTTGCTCCACTTTCGTTACAAACAACTCACGTGAACTTCGGTGCTCCTAGCTTTCAAACAAGGCGTCTCCGAATGGTTATTTAGGGACATCGAATAGTTTGGGTGATTTGGACGAGTTGTTCTTCCTGCGTAACGCGTAGCTTGGCGTTTTCAGTGGATCAGTGGCGATGAGATCGCCCCAAGCGACATCTGCACTGTACCCTTGCATTCTGTCTTACTTCTTTCTTAGGATAAGTACGCTTGGAGATGAGCAGTCCTTTTTGAGCGTTTGTTAAAAGCGTGGCCTGAGCTCCCGAGGCAGCATGTAGACGCGCTGTATGGATCTAGCAAACAAGGAGAGGTATTGAGCAAGCCTCGATTCACATGGCGGTATTATGTGAGCCGCGTGACTAGCCGGCGCTGCGTTTGGCACGGGTGCCAACGCCGCTTTTTTCTTTTCTTTCGGCGCAGGCAAAGCGGAATAAGAACTGTATTCAGAAGTTCGTATCAATCGGTATCATTTGGCGTGCTGCCAATCCGTCCTCCACAAGCTGTTGACACTTACCGTCTTCAGAAGCTGGTGGAAAAACGGTTTGGCAGCACGCCGAATGCAGCCGCGCTGACAGACCGCCGAAGCCGGCATTATCCGCAAGCGAGCAGGAGTGTAAATATGTGGGTTTCTGTTCATAGGTTGCTGAGGAAGTGTAAAAATTGGTGATCAGGAAATGTACCCGAAAACAAGATATATCCATGTAACAAACTCGGTATCAAAAATTTAGGCAAAATTTAGTATTTCCATTGATATTGGAGATGGATCTGTTTGACGAGAAAAAACAGCAGCGACGTGCTGTTAGAGAAAGTGAGTACTTTACCATTAATTTCATACTGGTTCAAATACCACTAATCACAAATTTTTTCTCCGCTCCACTTTATAAGGGGCTAAAAGTGGCACAGAAAGCGAGGATTCAATTCATCTCCGGTCACTGAATTGCGGCTTGCCCGATTTTCGATAGCCTTGCTCTCTTTCTTATTCGTCAGAAAAATGAGAAAATCAAAGAAAATTTCCCACGAAAATGAATGTGTCAATTTCCCATTTTGCAGAGGTGTTTGCGCTTCGTCACCCCGAACTGGCAAATGAAGGCATAAGTTCGTACCGTGACAATCGTTTCCAGGTACTGTGCTTTTCCCAAAGCTTGCTCTCTTATCGATCAGTGCCATTTCGCTCCCCCTAATTTGAATGTGGCACGAAAAATTTCACGTTTAATGAAACCTGGAGATGCAAGCTTTCACATTTTGGAAAATTCTGAAAACTTGTGCCATATGAGCTCAGTTTTGAATTCGAGGGTACACCAAAGCAACTCGATGATGCCCTTCGTAGATCGACTACTGTCTATGTCGGAAACCTGTCGTTCTACACTTCTGAAGATCAGGTTTGTTTTTAGCACCATGACTATACTTTTAGTTAAGTCTTGTTTTTAGTTGTATGAACTGTTTACCCGTGCTGGAGATGTGAGACGTGTTATTATGGGCCTTGATCGCTACAAGAAAACTCCATGTGGATTCTGTTTTGTTGTGTGAGGACTGGAATAATTTTTTTTGGAGATTTTTACTGAGCTACTGTTTGGCTCCGAGGTCCCTGGGCGTTCATTCAGTTGCTCTGTTAGGTTTGATGAGAAGCGCATGAACGTGCGTGAGGCTGCCTCCATTGGTGGCCGCGCGCACCCACCAACCACAGGTGCGCAATGCTCGTAATGCAGTCGACTCGAGCGTATCGACTGACAGTGAATCTGCTTATGAGTCAAAATTGCTGTTCAGATATTACACCCGCCAAGAGGCAGAGAATGCTGTACGTTTCCTGAATCGCACGGCACTGGACGGCAGAACAATCAGAGTCGATTTTGACGCAGGTTTCGTAGAAGGACGCCAGTATGGTCGTGGAAAGCACGGTGGACAGGTACTTCTCTAGATCTACTAGTCCTTTTTGGCATTGCTCCTAGTGTTTTAATTTGACTGTAAGGTACGCGATGAGTACCGCGAGGGTTACGACTATGATCGCGGCGGATACGGCAGAGACAGACAGGATAGAGAGGACGCAGAGTGATGGATAATTGGAGCTTGAGAACCTTCCTCTACTTTCCCAAAAAAACGACTATTTTCAGAATTTTGATTTAAATTTTTGCACTATGAATGTTGTTTTGTAAAATTGAATCTTGTATCTTCAAGCTGTCTACATGACTTTCTTGTATTGAATAAAGTTCTTTTTATTCGGAAGCTGACCAACGATTCTGGGTAAGCGCTGAGGATGATGATAGGGGTCTGTGGGAGTAGCCCTAATCTTGCAGCAGCACCATGTAGTTGTCAGTGTGTATTAGGTTGTCCGGAAAGTTCTCAGCGTTTTGGGTGTTTCACTTTAAACGATCGTAACTTTTTTAATACTCATCGGATTTAATCGAAATAGGCACCATTCGAATCAGCACACTTTTGCCAATGTGACAGCAGTCGAGAAATCCCATCAAAGTAAAAAACTGGGTGGTCGAAAATTCACGAAATCCACGAAGGCTTTTTTGCCTGGTCCTGATTGATGAAGTATTTTCCAGCAAGGGAGTTCTGAAAATGTTTGAAAAGGTGAAAGGTCTGAAGAATATGGCGGTTGAGGTAGAACTTCAACCCCCAATTCGTTCAATTTATGGATAGTGATTTGTGAAACGTGTGGGCGGGCGTTGTCATGCAAAGAATCGGACCCTTTCTGTTGACAAGTGCTGGCTGCAGCTGACGCAATTTTCGGTACATTTCGTCGATTTCTTCACAGTAGGACTCTGCTGTGATGGTTTGGCCTGGTGATAAAAAGTTATAGTGGATCACACCAGCCGATGACCACCAAGCCGTGACCAGAATCTTTTTTCGTGAGGGTTCGGCTTTGAAAATTACCTCGGTGGTTCGTCGAAAATCCCACTGTCCGGAACGTCTCCTGTTATCATACATGACCATTTTTCATCACAGGTGACAATTCGGCCCAAAAACAGGTCGTTTCTGCTGCGCAAAAGCAATGCAGAAGGAACCTCGAGACGTGCCGATTCCTGCCGGTCACTCCGATTGTGGGGCACCCAATTGTCGAGTTTTTCACCTTCCCAATGCGTTCCAGACCATCTGCACTGCAGCAGGTGTGGATTTGCCAACGCCTAGCTCTTCTGCTATCTCTCGAACTGTTTGGGATGGGTCAGCCTCCGAAATCCCCCTAAATCCTCGTCAGATATTGCTTTAGGTCGACCGCTATGAGGTTCATCTTCAAGGCTGAAATCTCCAGAACGAAATTTGTTGAGCCATTGCCGCACAGTGCTTTCTCTAGCACTATTGGGCCCCACACCTGGTTAATTTGTTGAGCTGTTTCGATTGCGGATTGCCCCAATTTATAGTCGAAGAAAAAAATCGTCCGAAGTGCTCTTTTCACATGCTTGAAAAAATCTTGAAAAAGGGGGTTTATCAAGCAATGGTGAAACGGCAATTATACCATCAGATAGCGCAAGAAATTCTCTACAGGATGTGCTACTGAGAAGCAAGGCAGAATGAGTTTTTAATCAGCAGTGAATGTACAAAAAATAGGTGCACAAAACGCTGAGAACTTTCCGGACAACCTAATACAATAACTTGGCGCAGGAACACATGGCCTTGGCGTATAAGCCAGCGTTCATACTTCACGATGACGAACGTCGTAGCGTTACCGTTGTAATAGCGCTTCAGTGCTGTAAAGGGATCACGGCCATGCAATATAATTGACGGGTGCCGGGCGCTACTGTTTTGGAAGAGCATAGAAGAATAGAAGTCGTGAGGCGACGACACGCTTGTAGCTCTACTAGATGGAAAGTTTGAATGCTGCTTAGGGTGCAAGTACGGGATGGGTGAGGAGGTAGCAGTGTCAGTGCGTCATCCCCCCCCCCCTCCCTAATCGCTTTCACTGATATGACCCTTTCTTCAACCCCTGCTGGTCTCCAGAATTTTGCCGTCAAGTGAGAAGGTGAAGGGTGGAAACCTCCTATCAGAAATTGTAGTTCTGGCTCACCGCGAAATAGGGGTAAATGGACCGCAAACGGTAAAATTAACATTTTGGAAAGGATTCTTAGGAGTCAACATACAGCCCTACGAAACCGAATACGATTCCGTGGGTTTTATAGTTGGTGTCATCGCCATCAGTCGCCATCAGTTTCTAGAGGAATGGAGTGGTCCTACCTGCGGCATTGCCAGCACTGTTTTTTTTCCTAAATCGATCACCAACCGATCACCATTGGTAAAGCGAGCCAGCCGGGGGCGGGCTCATTCTGGCAAGCCTTGGTCACACCGCCTCCGACTGAATGCCATATTATCACTACATATGTATATATATACAACTCGCTTGTTTGGTTTTGTTGTTGTTGTTTGTTTTTTTGTCTGTCCGGAAATTCGGTTCGACCTGAAGAACGACTTGGAGAGGTCGGGTCAAGGTGGGGATGGGTAGGGCATGGGACAAGAAATAAAAGCACACTTCATTCTCGACCTATGGGAAGCCGCCCACAGTGGGCGGGGCACTCGCCGAAAGTTTGGGGTTCCGCAGAAAAATGTTCATAATTCGCTTCCGGAGCAGCTTAAAGATGGGGAAAAAGGGAATAAGGTTAGTAAGGAGTCGCCAGACTAACTGTGGCAGACACATCCAAAATGGGCGGGGCGTACTCAAGGTGGGCGGTGCTTCTCGCAAAATTCAGTAACCCGGTTCGCGAGAGTGTTTGGAAGTCGCAAAAACTCAGTGTAGAATGTAAATATCTGGCGAATATAGGGCACGCTCAAAGTGTGTTGAGACCCGCCCACAGTGGGCGGAGCTTGCCCTAAATCGCAGGGTATTCATTTTAAAGTTTGTAGCTCGGTTCCAGAACACTCCAGACACCGGAAAAAAGTGAATTCAGGTCAGCAAGGGTCGCCGATTGAGAAATGTGGGGTATACATATTGTGGGCGGGGCCCGAGGTGGGCGGAGCCAGACGAAAATTCTCTAAAACTGTCCCAGAGCACTTCAAAGACCGGAAAAAAACGTGGATTAATGTCAGCAGGGTCGCCGGTGAGGATTGTGGGGCACAAAAATTGGGGCGGGGTCTGCTCTGAGGTGGGCGAAGTCAGACGAAGAATCTGTAAAATAGCTCAAGAGTACTTCAGACACCGGAAAAAAAGTGGAGTACAGAACAAAAGGCGGATATCAGTTGAGTCTAGAAATATGTGAAGAAGGTACGCGCGGCGAAGCCGCGCCCGCCCGGCGCAGCCGGGCCGTATCAGAAGGAGCCGCCGGCGTCAGCCGGCGAGGCGACTGGTAAACTATACACAACGTGCGAAAAGGACGGCAAAACAGACATGGGGTTCACCCGTGCGGCATTCGCTTCGCGACCAACTTCATTCAGCGTGGCAGCACTGCATGGCCACAAAACGTGGAACTGACAATAATTGCAGGCATTGGCTTGGAGTAACTATCCAGTAAAGACTATTAGAACAACCCGCGGAATAGTGAAAGCTGTGCTGCCCCACGGCACTGAAAATTTCAGCAGTCATCCTATTTAGGGAACGTCACCTCATGTCTCCTGACTTTTTACACACCTCGACCGGGCAGGGTTTCTATGCAGCACGACAGACACCTGGGGATAATTTATAGAGATCGTTTTCTGGCCTAAACTGGGTATTGAAGAGGTGCGACCCGTTCGCGACATAGTCACCGCCCCACTCCGCCCAAGGCAACCCTAACTTTCGTCCTCAATGTATTTCTAGTGGTGCGGTTGTTCCACTGCCAGCTCTTTCCATTTCAAATGGTGAGAGTGAGGTAATGAGGGGAAAGGGCTGACGCCAGCAAGTGAGAACTCGTCCAACCACACCCGCTTCTCCACTTATGTACGTGCAAGCTCGGTATATTGTTCTGGATAGGGCACTTCGAGTGGTTTTTTGTTTCCTGCTTTTTTTTCTTCACTTCTGAACCATACTGTTGTCATTAGACTCTTGTCATTAGCATGTGCGTCACACAACCCACCATTTTTGAGACGGGTGGTGATGAGAACTAATAAAGCGCTATTCAAATATTGCACGTTATTTATTCAGTATGTTTTCTTGTGCCTCTGAAATTCATAAAAATTTGAATGTTTGTTCGAAATAATTGGTTAGTTGTTCTTATTCAGTATGAATTTGAAATTCCATACTGAATAAGAACAACTAACATGCCGAGGTTACAAAATGAGAGAAGCTGGAGAATGTACGTTATATAATTTATTCGCAGTATCACATTATAATTCTTTTGTTCTACAATCGCCCATATCCCGGTCCTGTTCGTGGAGGAGGACAATGGTCACAAGAACCCGGCTGTCCTGGCGGTCCGCGAGGTCCGGGCGGTCCATGAGGTCCAGGCAATCCATCGGCACCCTGGATGATGAATTGGTGACAAAAATGTAAAGATATAATTGTGAGAATTTGAGCCAAAATTTTACCTTCTCCCCAGGATCACCAGGTGGTCCAGGTGGTCCTGGTCTTCCTGCTTGGCCATCCTTTCCTGGTGGTCCTGGCGGTCCTTGTGGCCCCGGTGGGCCCGGCGGACCTGGAGGACCTGGCGGTGCACCGTTGATGACTTTGCCGGGTTCTCCTGGTGGTCCTTTTTCGCCTGGTATACCGGGCGGTCCCTGTGGACCTGGTGGACCGGGAGGTCCGGGAAGGCCAGGAATTCCATCGTGACCTGGAGTACCCGGATCTCCTTGCGGTCCAGGGAGGCCTTTCGGTCCTGGTGGTCCTGCAATGAAGTGGTTAGTTATGACAGATCTATTATATATCAGTATTAATGTTAAACATGCAGAAACTAACCTGGTGGTCCTGGTGGACCAGGTGGACATTTCTGACATGGCGGTTTTGGTGGCGGTCCTGGCAGTAGAGAACCGTCTCTGCCTGGTGGTCCAGGATTTCCAGGTCTTCCAGGAGCACCAGGTCGTCCGTCTCGTCCAGGTGGGCCTGGAGGTCCAGGAGGACCGACCTTAATAGAGTTATTAGTAAAGACAAATGCTTGAGAATGACTGGCAGCATTATAATAATTATGTACGATACCTGGCAGGTGCAGCACGATCCACCAGCTGATGATGGATTCGAGTGAGCAGCATCTACTGGCTGAGCTTCGTAGGCTTCTCGCTTAGCACGAGGGTTAATCTTCCCAGTTGATGTGAACTGTACGGTCACCATTTCGCGCCACATTTCTCTAGAGCGGGTCTAAAAATTGTGAACCATTTGGCTATTCAGAGCGCCGATCGCAATAATGAACTGAGCAGAACAACTAATAGTTACTTACCTTACAGAAGTCAACCTCATTCTGCATGTACGATTGAATGGACTGGACATGGTTATAGACGAGTGGAAGGCTGATGATGCAAGACAAAACGCTCACGGTAGCCAAAGCTACTGAGGCGAAGGCCAACGGCCGGAGAGATTTCCGTCCCTCACTGCCCTCTTCCATACTGTAATGAATGAAGTGATTATTGAAAGAAAGCGAAATAAATGAATGAATGAATTCGAATGAATGAATGAATGAGTGTGAAATGAGAGAATGAAACAAAAACGATGAAAAGGTTTTAATGGGTCTAATTATCGAATAGCGGATACAATGGGTGAAATACCCCGTTGTGAACCACGAGGGTGTTCGCGTCGACGTCGCAATGATATGATCGCTTTTATATGGCCACTCTCTCCTCTCTATCGCACTTGACCTAAATCGACTATTTAACCTACATTTGTACGTTTTCAATCCGGTCGCCGAAAAAAACTCACTGAATACATTACAAGTGCAATGACGTTCGCCGCAAGACGGTTAATTATCTATGTATTGCATCAGTTCTCCAGCGAATTCCTTGAATAGTGGGATAGCAAACGAATGAATTCGTTTGGCATATCACATCTTCACAAGATGGAGCTTTGTGCAACAGACTGGTTTTCGTAGGATTAGAACTTCCATCTCCAAAAGCCCGTGGAAGTGAAGTTATCGAGATGCGCCATGAACTCGACTTCCACTCAGGTTTGTGAGGTGCTGGCACCATGAACCCGACTTCCACTCAGGTTTGTGAAGCTGTTGAAAATTTTCGGTTCATACAATAATCTAGAAAGACCAGCCGGCACTGAACTCAGTATTTGGATCTCCCAAACATGTCTTAGTGCTCTTCTAACAATGTGCGCCTATGGCTACATAGCACCCAAGGCATTATAGACAAACCCCGGTTCCACAGATTGTGGATAGCGGCATTCAGTTATAAACCTACCCTCGCTAAGTAGTTTTCCAGGGAGGGCGGGACAGCTAAGGAGGCGTCAGAACTGCCACTTTTGAGGACCGCAACGTCTCCGTCACTCGTTACAAAGCCGCGAGAAGAAGATCATCTCAGAGAGTGAGGACACTGTATTGGTACAAGAAAAGATGCCTACTAATTGCTTGAGCGCAGAGGTCTGTCTTAGAAAAACCAGCTTCAGGAGACACATAGTTCTGAATAGGATACCATTTCGCAACAAAGCGCATGTCCCTTTAGTCCGAAGGCCTTGGTTCAGCCTCCTCAAGCTTAAACGATATTTCTCACCTCCTGGCTATCAATCGTTTCATCCTACAACAATGAATCCCGTGAAACACGGAAAAATGCAAAAAAGTGCCATAGGAACGATTTCGCAGCACTTATAATCGTGAACGGACACGATTTCTTGTGGAGATTGAGAACTGCAGTAGTAGGACTAGGAACTTCTACCTGAGCCTGAGAGAACTCAGGAGTAAGTGAATCGATTCCAAGGTAATCCCATTGGTAATCCCTTTATCATTACAGTAACCCAATGTTGCTCACCAAGTCATGTAAGTGACCCTTCGCAGATTGTTAGCACCAATTTTGCTACTTCCACATAGTCCACAAGTCGTAAGCACATAGACACCTGCACATTTCCCATTAGTGAGCCACCCCCCCCCCCTCTCATGGCAGTGAGGAGGAAGGGGAAGTAGTAATGATCCATGTGAGCGAGGGCCCCAGCGAGGGGGTAATATTAGGTCGTCGGAGTGAGGGGGAGGCCATATTCCCTTCTGTGAGAGTGTTTTGTGGGAATGTTTCCGGCCCGTTATTGCTCTCGGTTTTCCCGTTCCAAACAAGCTATATACCACCACTCCCTCTTCCTTCCGAGATAGGTACAGTGAAGGCCCACGGAAATCCGTTAGCCGATGCCGTCATTTGTCGGTACTGCAATATGGCACCCATGAGGCCTCGCGCATACGTTGCGATCATGGCGACTACGTCGCGCGATTCGGAAATTGCGCAGGAGCGACTAATCTCGCTCTATCGCTACTTGTTGGACCGCTGCCAATTCAACCCCATATGGAACATATCCGTTCATTGCAGCTGCAGCGGCCTCATGATCAGAGGCGGAGCGTGGACGGTTGCAGTCGTGTGATCCCCAAATTGAGCTACGGAATAGCTTGATCCGAAGTATGAACGCGGGGCGGGGACTAATGCAAATTGTGATTTTCATAAACTAGTGAAAATTCATTCAGTACATAAATGTATGTACGTACAATAATATATTGCATTGATTGGTTTCATTATAATGCTCTATTCACTGCTAACACTCCAAGCTATACTCCTTATCCCTGAGCCAGAGTAGGCGTGGCATTTGAACATGGCACGGAATTGGTTACTCGTGGAATATTCCAGTCTGGGACAACTGTCATCTTGTTCTGTGTTGGACAGAGACACGACAACAATTGTGTCAAGATGAAAATATCTCACCAGAAGCATAGACACCTTCAGGTTAAGTTGAAACATGCGGCCACGCCTACCCGATCTCAGGGATTTCGAGTGTAAGTATCATGAAATTTAAGTAACAAATCATAATCGCAAACAAGAAAAGTGAATAGAGATGTATATCACAATGGGTTTTCGAATGAAAGACACATATTGAGTGAAATAAAGGTGTCGAAAGGCATGTGGACGGCATTCCATATGAATGAATATACTAGGTAATACTGAGGAGTAGAGGAATTCGAAAGGCACGAGATCATTAAAGTGACCGCAAATCGATGAGAAGGATGACCAAAATAATATTGTATAATGTGAAAACAGCATACTATGATTGGAATTAAGTACCGAAAGACATTTTTCAGCATAGATACAGTCATAATTGCTGCAAACAATAGGGCGTGTGATGGAGGCGTGGCTTGGAGCGGGGCCAGTGCAAATTTCCTAACATTTGCGATGGGCTCAGGATGGCATAATGGTGGAAGAGGCCGTCCTGGCTGCGCCCCAACTAAAACCACGTCGCACGCCTTATCGTTTGCAGGGATTATGATTGTATATGCGACCGAAGAGAAATGTCGATGAAAATTGTACATGGTAACAATGGCTGTGTATAAAGAGTACGAGTATTTGTATTCGTGCGATACGTACGTGCAACAGCACGTACGCAGCCGTGTGTCGTGTACGCTTGACGTTTTCCTTATGTTGTCTTCCATGTGACATGATGATCCGCATAAAAGTTCGGAGAGACTTTGGGGAATCCCTCGCCCTGCTGCTTAGCCCAAATCAATCCGTCTTTTTTCTCCGCTTAATATCCAGTTTTGTTCGAAGTATGCTGAAATTAATGTGTCTCTGTGTGTGGGTTTTTTGCGACGTCGTCCCGTTTATCACTTGCAAATCCCGCAAAATCAATCACACCGAATTCATCAATTTTTTTTGCATCGATGGCCTACTTCATTGAAACGGAATTGGGAAGAAATCCGCTGAGGAACAAAAGAGGGGTGAAGTTTGCGGGACTACGGGACGATTTACTAGCAGGTTTAGGGAGGCTGAGGCGGTTTCGCCTCATTCGTACCGTACTAAAGTCGGGATGCCCTTGATAATATAGATAGTATAGCCTTGAACGGTTGACGCTGATTGACTCTTAATTGCAGGGCAAACCGTTGGGATCCACTTTTTGATAAGTCCGCGATAAGTCCGCTCTGACTGGCCGCACCGAAGTTCAGCCAATCAGTCAATCATAGAGAGGGAAGCAGCCAACCGGTCTATGGTCTTCTTATGAGTATAGAGAATATAGCTTCTTTCCTTATTTATAAGGGCTTTTCATGAAGATGAACTTGTTCGATAGGGCACCTTCTCACCACTAAGGCAGCGACGGCAGCGCTTCGGTCGCGCGTTCGATGCTGTCGAAAGCATGTGCATCGATCGCGTCGAATGCGCGATCGAAGTGCTGCCGTCGCAAAGTCTGGACGCTGTTTAACGGCTATTCTATGATCTTTCACACCCCTCCGCAAACGAATTTCCATGCAACATGTAGATGCGGGTGTGAATCCAAGACAAGAGCTACTACTTCGAGAGAGATGCAGTTTACCTAGAACAGGAAAAGGTTCTTGAATTGCTCCTGGAGTTTCCATATTCGCTTCCATAAATGCTGACCCCTCCTGTCAACCTATATGAGACGTTCTGGTCGCTGAGGTAGAGGGTCATATTTGCGGGTCATTTGTGCCTACGTAAATAAAATGTTTTTGATCGTTGACCTTTCTTAGTTTTTGCCATCAATGTGCGTGTCCTCCCCCACCGGCAGTTATTTGAGGAAAAACTAAGAAATTTGTGAAAAACTCTGGAAAAGGGGTAAAAAGCTAGGAGAATTCAGGACAATGGCAGGTAGGATGGGGAGAAGGGCAGGGGAGCTGTACTGAGGAGGCCAACTTCGGGGGGGGGGATCAAATTTTGCAAAATTTTCCTCCAACAGCAGGACCTGCCCTAATTTAGAGGCATCGCCCGCATCGCATACGTGATCTTCGATTTTCCGCTCCTGTCCGCACAAAACTCTCCAAAGCAACTTATCCTTGAACTAGTTCCTTCTACATATTGGGTTGGCACATAAGTAATGGCGTTTTTTTCAATTGAAAATTTTGTTCCAAAAGTGAAATGTTTTGCAAGCAAGCTTGATATCATCTGATAGGAAACTTCTCGTAGTATAAGAATATCAAAACAGCTTTGGTTGAGGGAATAATTTTTTGTGAATTTTTTAGTCGTTGAAGTTGAAAGTGAAGTCGGCGAAAATTAGCACCTTCGACAACTGCCTCTATACTCGAAGTGCTAAAATCGCTTAAGCTGCTCCATACATTTGGAAAAGGTTGAGGTAGAAGTCTCAGCAAGGGAATCTCAATAGGACGCTTTGGAACTAATTTCAAGAATTTCAAAGTTGGCAACCTTCACCTCGCCGATATTGGGCAGGCTCACGTCTGTTCCACCTGAAATTTTATGCTAATATGAATGTTTCGCTGATATGTTTTGCATGCTCTGATAGCAAATTTCGTGCTCTATAACACTGCAATAGAAATCTGTTCTCCAGAGCTGTTTACTTTCTGTTAATTTCAGGTTATCATTACGGAACGTGAGGTCGATGAGAATTAGCGTTCCCGACTTCCTCTCCCTACCGCTGTCCACGAAGCTTCAAAGCTCCTAGAGCAGCTCAATA